CCAGACCCCTTTCACACCCTGGGACGATGATGATGATGTATGTTCAAGGCTGCATTGCAACATTGATTGTTCGGATCATTGGTGTCCAAGTCTTCCGCTGTGTTATCTTGTACTTTGTATTGAGAGGTCAGTTCTTGTTCTGGTCTGGACGTTACAGTATGCAACAGAGAGAGAGAGAGAGAGAGAGAGAGAGAGAGAGAGAGAGAGAGAGAGAGAGAGAGAGAGAGAGAGAGAGAGAGATCTTTCCTATGTAGCATTGTCGTGTTCCAATAACAAACATGTGTGTATATCTTTTATGTACACAAGTCGATGAGAGAGAGAGAGAGAGAGAGACACACACACTCTCTCTCTCACACACACACACACACACACACAACCTCCTCATCACTCGGAAACAATCTGCCACAGTCATGTTTTTTTTGAGTGTATAGAGAATATGACGACAAAAAAAAAAAAATGATAAAAAAAACCGGCGGTGTAATAACCACAGCTCCGCCCCCCTCTTCGTCCCTCTCCTCGGCCGCAGCGTGGCTGCGACGGGTCCACTTGTTACATTAAAGTGACAATGTGGCATACTGTGCAGCCACACGGGCCTGCAGGGCCCGACCAGCGTTCTCAGCCAAAAAGCCTGAAAACGAGCGCCTACAGGCCCTGTGTCGTTTTAAGCCTAAAAGCCTGAAAACGATAGCTTACAGGCCCTGTGTCGGTTCAGCATGGCAGCCTGAAAACAAGGGCCTACAGGCCCTGTGTCGTTTCAGCCTGACAGCCTGAAAACAAGGGCCTACAGGCCCTTTGTCGTTTCAGCCTGAAAGCCTGACAGGGCCTACAGACCCTCAGCCTTTTCAGGCACCAGAAGAGCAGCCTCCCGGAAACTTCCTCAGGGTCTAGCACGGTCGAGCATTGGCAAGAGCAGCCTCCGGGAAGCTTCCTCAAGGTCTAGCACGGTCGAGCATTGGCAAGAGCAGCCTCCCGGACGGGCGAGCACTACATAAGACTGGCCCGCCCTGCACTCTGGGGGGGAGGGACTGGCCAGGCACTTCACGTTCAGTTCAGGAGGCAGGAGGTAGTCTTCAGGACTCGGCAGCAACACTCTGGAGGAGCGCTGCAGTAGTAGTAGTAGCGTTAGCAGTAGTCTTCAGTGCTGGGCGCTACTAGGGGCTAGAGAGTAGCATTGGTGCAATGACTTGCTGATTTCTGCTGCCGAGATTGACTGCGAGGCTGTATACTAACCTGTAGGGTTAGTTTTGCAATTTTGTTTGGCTGAGGGCTAACCGAGAGATCCGCCTGTGTGGAAATTCATGAGGGACAGATCTGTAATTTCTGAAAAATACAGACCTGGTACTAACCGAGTTCCTACAGCTACCCTAACTGCC